CAGTTTGCGCAGGTGCCATTAGATGCCCGCCAGCCCCCTGAAAGCCGCCCCTTCCATCTCCCATAGTCACCGGCCTGTAAACGCAACTTCATGACTGAATTGTTCAAGCTGAATTCCTGTGTTTTCCCTTTTCATTTTGTGGGCAAGAGATCCTAGTGGCTTTCGTCCTGTTAGCAGAAATTCATGGCAGAATATTGGCAAATAATTCATTTTGGTTTTCCTCCTGCTTTGAAAAAGAGAACTCAGCAGGGCAGAGATAGGCATTTTTGAAATTTTAGCAGAAATAAACAAGGTGATTAGTTTAAAATGTAATTCATAGCCAGTGAGTTAATAGAAAGCCTTGAGTTGCTGATTACAGCTAGCTCAACTAGTCCCCTAAAATGTAATTAGCTTTTGGTGTGATTCCAAGTGGCTTCTTAATGCTTAAATTTTCAGAAATTTTCCAGTGCTGTTTCAGTATTTCAAATACTTTTTAAAGAGTTTAGTAGCAACATTGATCTGAATTCATATGCACTAAGGTAGGTGATGTCTCTTGAGTTTCTGGAGACAATACATATGTCTTAAAAGGGGTAAGTTAGGGGCGCCTGGGTGGTCAGTAGGTTAAGCCTCTGCCTTCAGCTCAGGTCATGATCCCAGGGTCCTGGGATCGAGCCCTCAATCGGGCTTTCTGCTCAGCAGGGAGCCTGCTTCCTCCTCTCTCTCTCTCTGCCTGCCTCACTGCCTACTTGTGATCTCTGTCTGTCAAATAAATAAATAAAATCTTAAAAAAAAAAAAAAAGCTGGGGGTGGGAGTAAGTTAATGTTGTTGACTTTCCTAGTGTTATAGGAAGGTAAGTTGCTTTTAGTTCTGTGGTTTACTTTAGTGTTTTAATATATTTGGGTTATAGCCTATTTAAAGTCATAATGAACTTTTTTTTTTAATCTAAATAACTACACTGAGATGTAACTGAAAAAATATTATTCTTTATTTTTTTTCTTTTAGCCAATGCAATATTGCAAGTCTAGAAAATTTAAGAAACTATGGGGTGCCTCTGTGGCCCAGTTGGTTAAGCGGCTGCCTTTAGCTCAGGTCATGATCCCAGGGTCCTGGGATCGAGTCCCACATTGGGCTCCCTGCTTGGCGGGGAGCCTGCTTCTTCTTCTGCCTATTGTTCCCCCTGCTTGTGTGCATGCTCTCTCTCTCTGTCAAATAAATAAATAAAATCTTAAAAAAAAAGAAAAAGAAAAAGAAAAAAAATATAAGAAACTAGGGTGTTGGCTGACTCGGTTGGAAGAGCAAGCAACTCTTGATCTCTGGGTTGTGAGTTTGAGCCCCATGTTGGGTGTGAAAATCACTTACATAAATTAAAAGAAAGAAATACAAGAAATGGAGGACTACTTGCAGGGCAAGGCTCAAATGTGAACTTAGCAATTAAAATAAAATTTCCACATTAGTGGGGTGCCTAGGTGGCCCAGTTGGTTAAGCATCCCAATCTTGATCTCAGCTCAGACCTTCATCTCAGGGTGTTGAGTTTTAACCCTGCGTTTAAAAAAAAAAAAAAAAAAAAATCCACATTAGGACTTGCAGCTATTCCATGCGCAAGCTGCCTTTAGACATAAGGAGGTATTCCTGTTGCATTTCTGTTGCCTAGTTAAGAAGAAATAGTTTTTATTATGGATAATAAATACATACAGAAGTAGAGCAGATGGCATAAAGAACCTCTATAGACCCATTACCCAGTTTCAACAATCGTAGCTCATGGCTGATCTTGTTTCGTGCATACCCCTACCCACTTGTGCACCCTTGCTCCCAGTCCATCTTTCTGAAATCTCAGATTAGCATTTCATATGCATATATTTTAGTATGTTTCTGAAAGATAAGGTTCCTTAAAAAGTATAACCACAATACCATTATCACACTTTGAAAATTAGCAATGATTCTCCAGGATCCTATATCCAATCAATGTTTCAATTTTTCCTGCTCATAAGTGGTGTTTTTTCATAATGGATTGTTTGAATTAGCACCTAAACAATATCTGTACTTTATTATGTCTCTTAGGTCTCATCTGACTTACAGGTGCTCTCTTCTTCTCTCCTGCCCCCCTGCCCCTGTTACCCCTCTTACAGTGTATATATGGAAGAACCAGACATCATTTGTTCTGTGGAATGGCAACATTCTGGATTTGTCACATTGCATTCCTGTGGTGTCTTGTAGCATGTTCTGGGTTTTTCTGTATTTGATGTAAACTGGTGATAAAGGGCTTGATCAGATTCAAGTTTGATTTTCTTTCTTTTCTTTTTTTTTTCGGGGAACAAGACTACTTCATAGGTGGTGACATCTCTCTCCAGCAGGAGGACATCTGGCTATTAGTCTCCCTTTCTGTGATGTTAAAATTGGTTAGTCAGATCTAGACATCTGATTTAGCCTGATCCATCCATTGTGAAGTACCCTATTAGCTTTCACTTAATAATTTTAGCAGCCATTTATAATCATTGCTGGTAACTAGTTTATCAAGAAGGAGAAATACCATTTTTAAAAAGTAATTTTTAAGACCTGGAGAGTAACTGAATGACATTGTGATTTTTCTGTTTGATGATTCCACCTTCCATAAAGTCAAGTCACAGAGCATCTTCCCTGAGCTAATAAGCAGATCACGTCAGCTGAGAAGCTCTGTGAAAGAACAAAGCCTACAGTGTCCTAGTTGTCTTCCCATGGAGTTGGCATTCTCTCATGAGACAATTTCTCAGCCCCAAGGCTAAAAGGAATGAGGCAGTGTTTTGGTTTTGATTTTTGTTAAATAATAAATCTTGGACTTCATTAAGCTTTCACTGTGTACCCCACAATTTATACATTAACATTGTATTAAATGTACCAACAGAGAAGAAAAGAGTTGGGAAACACCACTGAAGTATTCCCGCTCCTGGGGTGCCTTGGTGGCTCAGTCAGTTAAGTGTCCAACTCTTGGTTTCGGCTCAGATCATAATCTCAGGGTCATGACCTCAAGCCCCACATCAGGCTCCATGCTCAGCTCGGAGTCTTCTTGAGATTCTTCCTCTCACTCTGCCCCTTTCACTTGTTTTCTCTTTTTCTATCAAATAAATAATAAATAAATCTTTTGAAAAAAGAAGAAGAAGAAATATCCCTATTCCTTCAACCCATTTCTCTGTTGGTGTTTAAGAGTCAGGATACTAAGTAATCCCCATCCCTAAGTCTCACCTGGCTGTCACTGGTGATATGTGACTGCCAACCTTGGAGAGAAAGGAGAAAAGGAAAGATCAGTTGGGAAGGCCTAGGGAGGGTGTCCCCAACCAATAGCTACTTGTTGGGAGGAATTCAAAGTAAAATATTAGAAGCTAACTTAGAAATGATTTGATTTACTCCCTTTGCCAATCTAAGAATCCCTCCCTAAGAATCTGCCAACTGCTAAACTTTCCTTCCTACTCAGTTCTATTATGGCACTCATCTCATTCTGCTTCTTTAATTTTGTATATCTTGTTTTCAATATTGGGTTATGCATTTTTTTGAGGACAAGGAATTTATCTAATTATTCTATTTAATCCCATATAGGGTGTCAAACAAACACAGCTGGACATCCGTTGAAACAGTGAAAATAGATTTCATTCAGTAACTACTGGCAGCAGGGGAGAGAGCTGAGCGTCATTCTGATTTGCGCAGAAGTGGTTGGGCATTTTAAAGGGAGAGTGGGGGTAGCACTGGGAGAGAGGCCCTGTCCTTCCTGATGAGTGCATTTTAAAGAAATGGCTCTCAGGTCCTTGAGAAAGATTTGTGAGTCATGGGAGATTCCTGTTCACAGTTGTCTGCCCTTTATAAAAAATGCTGTAGGATAGGGAAGTCAGAGGCCCTTTGTCCGGCACTGGCTAGAACCGACAGTCAGTTCTCCTGGCAGCATTGCACTTTCCCAGGCAAGGATTCTTTTTTTTTTTTTTTTTTAAGATTTTATTTATTTATTTGACAGACAGAGATCACAGGTAGGCAGAGAGAGAGCAGGAAGCAGGCTCCCTACTAAGCAGAGAGCCCAATGTGGGACTCGATTCCAGTACCCTGCGATCATGATCTGAGCTGAAGGCAGAGGCTTTAAAACCCACTGAGCCCCCAAGGCGCCCCCTAGGCAAGGATTCTAATAGGGACTGGGGTCATCCTAGGGTTGCGCCCAACACTGCTGGAAGCCATGCTAGTGTCTCCTAGTGCACAGGTTTGGGTGAAGTTTGTTATGTGCTGAGAGTTCTGCAATTCTCAAGGGTCTAGACCACTACTTAATGATTTTGTCTGAACTGAACACATTTAGATAAATTCAGTTTCCTCTGCCCTGAAGGAAACAGGGTCCGTTGGAATGCCTTTCACCTTCCCTTGGTGGCTAAACAGAGCCAGGAAACAGGAGCATCACCTGCGTTCATTATCTCCCTTCCCTAGGTCTGTGCTCTCCTTATAGGATGATAGCTGTCCTTCTTCTCTTGAAGAGTAGCCCATTTACTTGTGACTAAGAGACTTCATTTCCCTACCACAGATGCTCTAATTTTTTTTTTAATAATTCAGTATGATCAATCTGCTATAAACACATTGAAATATTTTACTGTCTATGGCAGTTTTCTGGGCACTATGAATAAAGCACAGTTTAAAGGTCTGTCTCTAACCCGGGGAATCGTACCTAGCAAAACAGCATTTCTGTCTATTTTCATCAAGCTTTTCTTTCTTGGCATTTATCTCAAGATGTAATGTATTTATCTGTATGATAATTTTTGAATATATGTCATGGAAACTCTGTCTTTTCTTGTTCACCATTGAAAAGCAAGCACCTGCCACAGTGCCTATAACTATTAAATATATTCCAGAATGATCTATTTAACAACAAAATAAATGGGTGGCTTTCCATCTTACCTTGTCTTTTTCAATAACACTGACAGTGTACAATGCTATTTAATTAAACCATGGTAATAAACAAATGTTTGCGAGGTATCCTGGACCTTGAGTTGTGTTTCAGTGATTCTTCTTCTCTTCATAGGTTCCTTACCTATTCCTACCTCTTGGCCTTCAACGTGTGGCTTCTGCTTGCACCCATTACCCTGTGCTATGACTGGCAGGTCGGCAGTATTCCTCTGGTAGAGACCATATGGGACGTGCGGAACTTAGCCACCATCCTTCTGGCAGTTGTCATGACCTTACTGAGCCTTCATTGTTTAGCAGCCTTCAAGGTAATTTTCTTAAAATCCAACCGAACTCTCTGCATTTGAAGACAGATGCTCTGTACTTAGTGATGCCTTCTCCACCCATCACCCCTAGGTGGTCCGAGTCTAAATTGAATCTACTCTTTTGTCTGAAAAACAAAAATATTAAATTTTTCCAGGTAAGTAATACATATTTTAAAGACCTTAGTGGAGTTAGCAGATCATGGCCACCTTAATTATCTTTTACTGTTCTACCAACCCTGTAGAAATTGGATCTGAAATTGAATGTTTGCAAACAAGAATTTTTTTCCTGCTCTAGTTGACTAATTTTTGCAGCAACTTGTTGTTTGATTTCATGTAATGATAAATGAGATAATGATAATATATTCATAAGTGCTTAAAATATGGTTAAGATGCTACTTCCACTAATGAGTACCTGCCTGACTGGTTGGTTGGGTGAGTCTCACTTCAAAAAAAAAAGGAATGGTATAAAACTGGAAAAAAATTATTAAATGCAGCGGTTTCAAGAATGACCAAAGACAGCAAAGAATTTGAAAATGTTTACTTCGGAAAAACTGCTCCTGCATTGGAGAAGATGCTCCTTGCTTGAGGGGATTCCTATCCCCCCCAACACATACCCCTTCCCCCTCTCTGCCCAGCCTAGCTGGTGTGAAAAAAAACCCACAGGTTTACCAGTTAGAAGCTGATTTGGTTTGGGAGCATAGCAGAGCAGCAAGAAACTTAAGGGGGAGCTTTTGGAAACGAGAGAGCTATGGAAAAGCTGAGATAATATGCTCTGCATGCATTCATGACTGGCTGCTGAACAACATGGCGCTCCCCAGGGAGCACAAGCAAAATTGAAAGCCTGGGGAGACTTACTGATTTCCTGCAAATTTGAAAGAATTTTTAACCCTTACACAGGTTGGGCAATAGAGAGGGGAAGCTTCATTGTCTTGAGTTGTCAGTGTATAACCGCTGTTGAAATCATTGGCTGATCAGAAAGCTGTGCAGACACAAGGGAGATTCCCCAGAGATTAAGGCAAAGCGGGTGAAAAAAACCTGAGCAAAATCTCAGCTCTCTACAGAGAAACAGATTTTTCATTTTGAGTCTAGGCAAGTTCATTATATATTAAAACAGCAAAAACAGCAAGTTTCAGAAGGACAGAAGGAAATACAAGGTCACTACAATGTATGATACATGATGCTTAGTTTTTAATCGGATTACTGGACATGTAAAGAAACGGGAGAGTATGACCAAAACTTGTGAGGGGATAGTAAGTAGAAAACAGAACAGAATTAAGAATCCAAAGGTAAGCTCTATTACATGCTCTATTGATTTTTGACAAAGTTACCATGATAATTCAATGGGTAAGGGATAGTCTTTTAAATAAAAGGTACCGAAATAATGGAATATATATAAAGAAAAAAATGTGACATTTTACCCTTATGTCATACTGTACACTCAGAAATTAATTCTAAGTGGATCATAATCTTTAAATAAAAGAATTAAATAATATCAAAAATTTTAAAACGAAACAGGAGAAAAATCTTTGTGGACTTGGGTTAACTAAAGATTTCTTAGAACACATAAAGTTCAGTCTATAAAAGAAAAAGATGACAGATTGGACATCATTAGAATTAAAAATTTTGCTCATCAGGGGCACCTGGGTGGCTCAGTTGGTTAAACATCAGACTGTTGATCTCAGCTCAGGTCTTGATCTCAGGGTTATGAATTCAAGCCACCCATAGGCTCCACTTAAAAAAAGGTGTTTGGGCTCAATTGGTTAAGTGTCTGCCTTCGGCTCAGATCACCCTCTCAGGGTCCTAGGATCAAGTCCTGCATCTGGCTTCCTAGTCAGTGGGGAGCCTGCTTCTCCCTCTGCCTGCTTGTGCTCTCCCTCTCTCTCTCTCTGTCAAATAAATAAGTAAAATCTTTTAAAAATACATAATGTTAAATCACTCAAAAGGCAAATAACAGATTGGGAGAAAGTATTTGTGAAACATGTATCTACAAAGGACTTGTATCTGGGACATTTAAAGAGCTCTTAAAACTCAGTAATGAAACAAATACCCATTAAAAATGGGCAAAAAGTTCAGACAGACACTTCACAGAAGAAGATATGCAAAGGTTAATAAACATGTAAGAAGATGCTTAACATCATTAGTTGTTTGGGGAATGCTAATTAAAGCCACAAAAAGTTATTACTGTAGACCCACCAGAATGACTGTAATTAAAAAGATTCACAATACTAAGTGTTGGCCAGAATGTAGAGCAGCTGGGCCCCTCATATTGGTGAAGCTTGAAAAATAGCTCGGCCACTTTGGAAAAATTCGGCAGTTTCTTAAAAAGTTAAATGTGAAAATAAGCAAATTTCAGTACCTACCTAACGGGCGATGGAAACTTATGTCCATACAGCATACAAGAGTCTTGTAAGTGTTCATAATAACTGAAAAATGGAAACAGTCCAGTAACCTCAAAATGTAAATGGATACACTTAATATTCTAAATTATTAATTATTCAGAAATGTAAAGGAACAAATAATTAACTTATACATAAAAAAGTATACATGAACCTCAGACACATCTTACAAAGTAAAAGAAGCCAGTTAGGGCGCCTGACTGGCTGAGTAGGTAGACCAGATGACTATTGGTCTCGAAGTTCTAAGTTTGAGCCCAAGTTGAGTACTTGAAAATAAAACCTTCAAAAAAAAAAAAAAAACTCAGACATACAAAACTATATAATATATGATTCCATTCATACAAAATGTCTGTTATTATAATTCTAGAAAGAATTGCCCAGAAATGCCTAGAGAAGGCAGAATTATGACAGAAAATATGTGGGGATGGAGAGTGGGTATAAACAGACTTAAGGGAACTTTTTGGGATGTTGAGTGCTTTTAAAATTTAATTATGGTGGTGGTTGCTAAATGACATCTGTTTACCAAAACTCACCAAAATATATACACAAAATGTGTGAATTCTATTTCATGGGGGCTATATCTCAATAAAGCTATATTTTTTTAGAAAGATTAAAATGTTACAAAGAGATTAAAGGCTGGAATGAATACACAACTGGCATTTGAATATAAAATACTAGCATGTGATCCTGAAAATTTGATGAAAAAAATTTTTGAATTACTAAAACCTTTTTTGTTAAAGAAAAATTCATATAACATGCAATTAACCATTTTAAAGTATACAGTTTAGTGATACTTAATGTATTCATAATATTGTGTAACTACCAGCTCTCTCTAATTTTAAAACCTTTTCATCACCTCGTTAAGTGACTACCAGTCACTCCTAATTCTCCCCTCCACATCACCTGGTGACTTCTAATCTGCTTTCTGTCTCAGTGGATTGGCCTATTCTGGATATACCATATAAAAAGAACTATACAGTATGTGACCTTTTGTGTTTGACTTCTTTCACTTTGCATAGTATTTTTGAAATTCATCCAAGCTGTAGCATGCATCAATACTTAGTTCTTTTTAATGGCTGAATAATAATCCATTGGATGTATACACCGTAATTTGTTTATCCAGTCTTCTGTTTGTGGACATTCATGTTGTTTCCACCTTTTGGCTATTACAAGCATTGCTGTATTACCACGTTTATGGACATATGTTTTCATTTCTCTTGGATATATACCTAAGACAGAAATTGCTAGGTCTTATGGTAATTATGTATTTAACCTTTCGAGGAACTCCTTTTCATATTGGCTGCACCATTTAACATTCTCAGAGTATACAGTTGTTCTTGTATATCCAGTCTTTGCTAATACTTGTTATTTTCCATTATTTTGTTTAAAGTCATCATGGTAGGTGTGAAGAGCTCTATCTTTGTAGTTTTGATTTGAATTTCTTTAATGAACAGTGATGAACAGCTTTTTATGCGCTTATTGGCCATCTGTGTATCTTTTTTGGAGGAATGTATATTCTAGTCCTTTGCTCATTTTTCAGTTGAGTTGTCTTTTTTCGTTGTTGTTGGGTCGTAAGAGTTCGTTGTATATTTAGGATTTTAAATCCCCAACAGATATTTTCTTCCATTCTTTAAATTGCCTTTTCACATTGTTGATGATGTCCTTTAATGCACGCAAGTTTTTAATTCAATAAAGTGCCATCTCTTTTCTTTTTTGTTATTCTTCATTGCTTTTGTTGTCAAACATAAGAATCCATTGCCAAAGCTGAGGTCATGAAGATTTATGACTCTGTTTTGTTCTAATAGTTTTATAGTTTAAGCTGTTATATTTGGATCACTGATCCATTTTGAGTTATTTTTTGTCTATGTAGTGGTATGAGAGTCCAGGTTCATTTTTTGGCTGGTGGATATCCACTTGTGTCTGCACCATATTTCGAAGAAACTATTTTTCCTCTAAATACCTTATTTAAAGTAATTCACTTCTTAGTCATTTTGTAAATCAAGTTGGTAAGACAAGTATGATAATGAATAACCATCCTCAAAAAACTCTAGCATGCCAATTAGTTACATAAACTTGAGCTCAAATTTCACCTTCGTAGTACTGTCTACCATATGTACCCTTTTGTTTATTTATTTATTTATTTGATAGAACAAGAGGGTGAAAAGGCGGAGAGGGTAAATGGAAGGGAGAGGGATAAGCAGACTTTGGGCTGAGCTCCAACTCAGGACCCCGAGATCATGACCTGAACCAAAACCAAGAGTTGGACACCAACCGACTCAGCCACCCAGGCCCTCCCATATGTACCCTATTTAAAATGCAATCATTTGCCCTCCACTCTTTTCCCTTTTAACTTTTTAACTTTCCTTCACTCTAATTCCAATTTCTAAAATGCTGTGAACTTTGTTATTTTATGTAATATCTCTTTCCTCCAACTAGAATGTATGCCCCATGAGGACGGAGATTTTTTTCTGTTTTGTTCACTGCCATATTTCTGGCATCAAGGAGTTGCTGCATACAGTATATATCATCTAAATTTTATTGTTTGTTGCCGAGTGTATATCATCTAAATGAGTAAAGGCATAAAAATTAGCAACTCTGTTCAACTAG